TTCAAATGTATGGACAAATGATCAGAGGCTTACTCGTCTCTCTAAGCAGGCTACTGATGATTTTTGTGGTGATTTTAAAAAGATTTAAAACAGAAACATGATTTAAACATGATTGTTTAAGGCAAGCATGGTAACAGAAGAACATTAAATTTGTATTTATATAACAGATGATTTTTCAGCAAACAGTAATCAAAAAGTAGGGATGCATTTTTTTTAAATTTTACGCTTCTTTGTGACATTTCAAAGTTTTTTAGTGGTTCGTGTGCTTGAATGTTTTTGCAGCTTATCAAAGTGCATTCCTGTGTTCTATTTCAAATTTACGACTTTGAGAGGCAGCTTACAAATAATTTTATTGCCACCATGTTCAAAAAATAAATTAAAAAACTTTAAAATTGCAAAAAGATATTTTTTCACCAACGCTAAGAATAGTAAATTTATAAAAAGAAATGTAATTATTCAGCGAAAATCTTTAATGACGAAACAAGCACATCAATTTTTAATCAGATGATCGCTTGATTCCCAGCAGTTGCTTCATAAGAAAGAGTTAGAAAAGTTGGATCATCAGCCAGTAGCGTTGTCAGATTGCATCTCCTCTCAAACCTTCCTCTGGACAACAATAACTTTCATCAGTCTTAAGCTCATTGTAAATTCTCTCAAGTGAAACGTAGAGACAACATTAAAGTAGGAATAGAATAAAATAAGTTTAAATCTCGTCAATAAACCATTCGAAACGTAATAATAGTCTTTTTAAAGCACGCTTTTAACAGAATGTTACAAGAATGGCAATTTTTTGGAAAAATTTGTTTTGTATCAAAAAATTGAGGCTTTCAAAATAACAAAAAATTTCTCCTATTAGCCCAATAATAATACTTAAGAGTTCAATAGATTAAAAATTAAATGGAAAAGCAGAAGATTGTAAGTTTAGCAGCAGGACAACTGAAAAACATTTGAAAATTGTGAAATATGTGGTGTGGTGGTGGTGGTTACACATATAATAATTGATGGCGCCTTGGTTGCTGTCTTTCGGGTGAGAAACGCGCGTGTCGATCTTCGAAGACACACTATTTCTCTCTTTCTCTTTCCCTCTCTCTCATTCTCTCTCTCTCTCTCTCTCTCTCTCTCAATTCATTATCTTTACAGTTAATAAACAACTGAAGTTATTTAAAAAGTTTAAAGAATCATTTTGACCGTGGTTTGCGATAAACTTTTATTAATTTATTTTATCAAAAAAAGTTACAAACTTACTTAATGACATTTTATTGAGCCTATACAAAATTCACTATATAGTCTTCTCACAAACATTTCAAAAACTATCAAATGTAAATATAAAATAGATTGTAAAATTATTTTTAATCATATGAATGTATGAGAGAATTTCTGAAATTCAATGAAATTTCATGCCAGAAGCAGAGTTGTAGTTTTTATTGGTTAAGACAGCAAAATGTATGCAGAGTCCATCTAAGTCGCAACAAAATCATAATTTAAATAAACATTAAATAAACTTTGGACATTTTCACTATTAGATCGCCAGACTTTATTGAACAATCGTACTTGTTTATGTATTTTTTTAAACATTGAAAATATTGATAATAGCAATGAGTCATTAAGTTAGATCGTCACGGTTCAAATAGAGCTATAAAACATGGAGTGCAACCCTTTAAAGACAGATGAAACACTGCAATGTAAAAAATTATAACAATCAAAATCCTCTTGAAAACGTTTCTGGTTTAATAAAAAAAAACCGTAAAATTTTGTAAATTTTTTGCAATGTTCATACAATTTCAAAATACATTTTTAATTCTTCGGACCGAAGTATTATTTAAAAATTGTGATATAGTGCATACACAAACATAGGCAAGTACACCTGTAAAGGAATAGTCGAGTTCATATTAGAGAAGTACGTAGGTACAAGGATGGTGATGTTATAGTGCCAGCAATGCACATGCAGTTGTACTGCACTGTACTGTACTGCACTGTACTCACTCACAAAATTTTTAGTTTGTACAAAAAGAAAAGGTTGGTAGGTGAAAGCAAACATAGAAATCCCTGCGATCTCATGCAACTCTTTTTAATGAATTTATCATGTTTTCGGGGACAGTAGCGTGAAGTTGTTACGATGGATTAACGTGTTGATTTTGTTTGACAATTTTCATTGGTAACTGTTCAACGATTTAAATTTTTTTTTAGTTAATTTATTCATTCGCACGTTTGCAGTTTTTATTTTGGATTTGTTATATTCAGTTTAAATGAAATTTATATATAAATTTATGAAATTTTCTTGCAGCAAGAAATTATTTAGTACATTTGTTAAAATACTCGTCTACCTATACCTTTGTGCTAAGTAAAACGAATATATTTTTATTTAAAACATCTCCAAACGTACGCCCTCCTAACTTATCCAGATTCGAATGAAAAATATTTTAAACAATTAAATTTTTTTAAATACCTTAAATATTTTAAATACTTAAAATATTTAGGTTAAAACAACCGTCTATTTGCTCTCAATAGGAATATCATCACTCCACGCGCATTTTAGTTCTAAAGTTGTGGTGATATAATTTTCTATTTGAATATGTGGACCCGTTCAGATGGGATGCGTAGGAATGCATGTTTGAATGGATGTAGCTACGTGTTTGTATGAATGCATTTATGTATTCGTGTTTGTATGAATGCACATATGAATGAATGAGCAAGTTTTCTTTTCTAAAAGCCTGGATGTAGTGTGCATCAACGCGGTGAATGTCTATGAAAGTGTGAGTAGATTTTTGTGGTGTGAGCGCTTAAGCGTACTTTGAAGGCATACGTTAGCACGAGATGACGTATCAATGACAGGATGAAAGCTTTCATGCATGGAACAAATCACTGTGGAGCACATGTGTGGTATGTTCTCATCTACGTACATTCAGTCTATGTTTCAAGACATCTTTCCATTCGAGATTCATCCAACCGACGACATCTCAACAAATTACCTCCTACCAATCATTTACATTACGACCAATTATTTTTGTTGTTAATTCATCTTCATAAACAATAAATTCATTTTAAGTTAGTTCTTTCAAACTTGAAAATTTGAGAAAATATTTTGAAACAAATAAATGTCAAACGCATGTCCATAATATAAAAACTGCGTTAAAATTTAGTTTAGACTTTAATCACACGCTTAAAATATAAACATGAAACCTCCCCATTAAACTGTTGAAGATTTTTAGTTCAAACCGGTGCTCAGGTTGCTTAATTTTATCTGCAACTGAATGAAAAAACATTAAATTTTTTTAATTCAACCCATTCTTGTTGATATATGTTACTGTAAACGCTAAAATTATTACGACTCTTGCAACAAGTTTCCCGGCAACAACACAATATTTTTTTCTATTTAAAAAATATCAATAAATATTTTGAGTTGGTTAATGTTATGCTGAAATCTCAGCATCCTCATGTATTTTGATTTCATTTACTAGACATAATTTAAATGGCCTAAACTAAAAATCTGCAGTCTAAAAACTAATAAATTGCAAATAAAATTATTTTTGTGAAAATGTTATCGAGTGTGGAGCAATCAATACTTATTCTCATGTACTAATAAAAGTATTGCTTGCAATCTGCGATTAAAATCAAATAAAATTTTAAACACACAGCGTAACTAGCCTTCATGTAATCAGATCCAATGTCAAAGATGATGTCTCTGGCGTTGGATGATCTGCCGGAGTGCTGCATGAGACCTCCTCCCGTGTTAACACAACTCACTCGCCTGCCGATGTGACCTGTTCAATTTCCAACCATCCAGAAATCATTCAGTGATGATGTGCACGATATTTATATTAAAAACATGTTGTAGGATATTTAAATGCTGGAGCAAATCCCCAGACAGGCTGTTCACTGAACAGTGTTCAGCGTCGAGTGAATGTTATCAATCAGCGATACATGCACGTAAATCACGGCATTATGCGTGAGATGAAAATTTAATTTTTGCATGCGCCCGTTTACGTTGTGTTTTATTGCTGAGTTTATATTCATATACACCAACGTGATGTAAAGCATTATTAACGCGATCATTTAATCTCTCATTGCTTTGCTGGGTAGGCTGTCTGAACATTTTGCTGTGAAAAAATCACGAGTTTTCTGACAAAGCATAACTGCAAACATTTACGATACTCTTAATTGAAATATATAGTGAATATAAACATAAAACATGATTTCATCTAGGACATATTATTTTGAATGTAATATATATAGCATATTTTCTTAAATATGAAATTAGTTTAATTTTCTGTTAGGAAGTAGTCAATTGACAAGATGACGTTTTTAAAAGTTTTAAAAATTGAAATTTTGTAACGTTTTTTCATTGACGAGTCGTTGATTGTCAGGGAAATAAAAATGTTCATTCGGTTATCAAGCGTCCAACATTAAAAAGTTATTTGCTCAAACATTTCTGAATAATAGTTAATTATTATTTTTGTATGTACATAAAAAACGTGTATTATCATTAAGTAGCAACAAAACTTATGATGCACAATATATATTGACTAGTTTTAGTTATTCTCGTTAATGCTCTTTCTTATTGGTTTCAGATGAGGCATTTAACCTGTCTCAAGCAATGATTTATATCCCGATTTGTGCTGCACCTTCTTTAATACCGGCGCGGTATTTTGTCAATCTTCAAAGGTGTTGGCCAGAAAATATCGAGAACTCATTCAACACAGCATTATTAAAGGTACTTGTTGTAAATAAATGCATACTATTTTGAAATTGGATGAAGGCAATGGCTTACAGATATTAATAATTTTTAGAAGAATAAAAAATAAGAAGAGAAGCAATTTCAGTTTTGAAGCAATGTGGAATGAAAAAAATTATTTTTCATCAGGTTTCTTACAAAATCCACACACACACACACACACACACACACACACACACACACACACACACACACACACACACATTCATATAAACACACACACACACACACATGTTTAAATTTATTAGAGTAAATGCTTATTGAATAATTAGAAGTTGCTGGTGCTGTGAACTATACGGGAATGATACTTGATGGTAATGTCTGTTTTTGAAACAAGTAATGTTTAGACGAACAGAAATTCAATGATGGCGCAAGAATTATGGTGCATAATATTTTATGGCCAATAATATATATATATATATAACGGTTTAAGAATAAGTTACACCAATAAAAATGACGAATGTAGTCATTTTCATTTATTATACGGCCGCCAAAACATTCAGTTTCAACGTTTTCAGTTGCTACCCTACAGACAAAAATTTATTTGCACACAAAATGCAATTTTATAGATATCTGGGTAAGCGAAGAAAAGTAATTTGCGTTTTTATAAAGCCCTAGGCAAGAACCACGAAATGTTCTAAGCAAAGCTATCGGTGATAAAAAAAATAGTGTAGTTGACATTTTTATGTATAGATTTAAAATAAAAGAAACAAATTAAAAACAGATGAATTGCGTTTCAATAAAATTTCTAAGCAACCTTCACTGCGTATGCACGACAGATCCGATGAACCGAGTGCACACTTCTTGTAACATTTGGCTGCAGCAGTGCCCACAGATCCGGTGGGACTTGTGCCTCTTGAACTGCTAAATGGTGTGACGATTTTGATGATGTTGCTGTTGCTATTGTAGCAGGAGTCGTTGTGGTCCAAGTTGTTGTAGTTGTTATAGCTACTGCTGGTGACAGATCGACCGGGAGATTCGGTTTGGAGTGATGCCCTTCGTAATTTTGTCAGGTCAGCAGCCGGAACACCCAATCTGTGCATGACCGTGCCGCTGTTGTTGAAGTAGTTGTAGTAGTTGTGGTGGCTGTTGACGTTGTTGTTGTTACTGCTCGAGTTCGATATGAATGCATCCACCGCCCTCTCCACCGATTGTCTTCTGCCTGGAAAAATTTCTCCCGAAAATGACTTTCTGGCGTCCCTTGTAGCAGGTGGAGATTTGATTTTTGTGGAATGAGTCGTCGTTGCTGATGCAGCCATTGCTGCGGTTGTTGTCGTTGTTGTTGTTGTTGTTGCTACAGTTGAACATTTTGATGGCAACAATGCAGTTGTTGCATTTATAGTCAGAGAGTTCTTGCTCTGTTTTGAACTTAGATCGTTTAATTTGCCTCGACTTCCATACATTTTTATAACTTTCTAAATTACTTTCTCGAAAAATATTTTATTTCAAACAATGAGTTCAATAAAATGCTCCGCAAATTTTTATTTCTTTTTTTTTTACAAATTTAGCAACGACATCACTTTTAATCGATCGCTTTCATAGCAAATATGAGTGATAACTTTCAACGAGCAAATATTTGAAAACCTTAAAACGTGAAAATAAAACTTCAGGGCTCAAACCGTAAACACGCTCAACAGATTTTTAAAACGCAAACATGGTTTTATTTTAAGAAATTAATGAAACTTTAAATTTATTTTAAAGAAATAATTTTTAACAAACAATCACTATTTTTTTAACCAATAGATCCGAGTTTCATTGAAATAATTGCTCCACTGCACATCCTAGCACCGCATGCACAAGAAATCCTGCCTGCCTGCCATTCAATCTTCACAATATGCTGCGCATCTCTTATCGTGCGTAAGTTTATGTCAACATATTTAAAACCATCTATATGAATTAAAATATATTATATGTATTACATAAAAAATATATTGTATGTATGTATATATATATATATATATAATATATATATATATATATATATATATATATATATATATATATATATTATATATATATATATTATATATATTAATATATATTATTGGTAAACCATTACCCGCCATAGGCCAGACGTACGTTTCGTCTCTCACGAGACTCGTCAGTAGCCTGCCGAATAAGGTTTAAGATAACACAACTCAATTATTGGAACCAAGAAACTCAAATTGAGGTGTCGCGACCAATAGGTGAGAACAACATCTCGTTGTTACAAGGTTTAAGAACCCACTCAGTCGCAAGAGGTATTATTGGTATATATATATATATATATATATATATATATATATATATATATATATATATATATATATATATATATATATATATAGTGAGTCGACTTGAATCGAAAAGTACGGGGTATATAAAGGGTTAGAATTTCCGACCTGCTCCGACAAGTATGGTCAGCCCGTACGAGTACATAAAGTACACCATCTCTCGCCACAACCAAAGGTGCACACCTAGCTCGTTCTAGGCTAGACGCTTTTCGTCCCTTATGTAACTCATCAGCAGTAGCCCGAGTTTAAGCACAAACTTGGTGCAATTACTATCTCAGTAGACAATATAGCAATCTAAGGTGTTCTCAAGTAATTCCCAGAAAGACATTAAACACTTTAGTTTCATTGTTGTCTACTGAGATAGTAATTGCTTGGCAATGCATCTATTAGTATTTATTATTTGAAATATTTATTTAATGCAGGCCACTTTCATATAAATTGTAAAGTTTTTACAAAAAAGGAAAACTTTGTGGTTGATTTTTACAAAATTGCGAACAAAGCTGAAAAATATATAGAAAATAAAACAGATAGAAATATGAAAATTAATAAAGTTAAAAATATTAATTAAAAATGCACTTGCATGTGTGCAGTGCAGTGCATGTGAGTTCACTTTCTTGCGTGTTTGTGCCTGAGATTGATATAGGAACGTACCTCAAATTTCATAATGAAATTCCCAACAAGTAATTTAATTTTTGTTTTTTAATGAAATTAAAAATTTCGTAGAGTCCGTTTCTTAATTTCGTTTGACGGCGTGGACATAATTGAGTCAATATAAAATTATTAAATTATTTACCAGATTATAGTGCGGTTCTATTCACATCAACACATTCGCTCAATACCTGTGGACGAACATGCAATGAACACTCACACACCCCACACGCACACACACACAGTTCGCTTGAATATTAATTAATGCAAATAATTCAAATTTTTGCTAGCAGTTCACGATCATATTCTGCAAAGTTTTTCCTATGCTGTTCAACTACTTGAAGCAAAAATTGTTTCTGCTCTGCGTCTTTGGTGATTGTTTCATTGAAATGTTGTACCAACGCTACTCCCCGTTCTGCAGAGTCATTGATGCAAACCAGATTCTTTACAAACACTGCTGCAACTTGGAAAGAAGGAGTATCTGACCAGTTTTCAACAAGTACATCAAGAAAACTGGCATCAATATTAGATGTTTCAAAAAATGTTTTAGACGCACGCAAATTGTCAAAACTTTGTGGTAGTGTTTTCATCAGATGTGGGTCTCGATCTGCTTGTATTGTGCGGACAAGATCAGTCTTTTTTTTTTGTCATACAGGAGAGATGAAAAAAGAACAAGAGTTGCCAATTCTGGATTCATGTACCAAAAATGACGCAACATCATTTTTAATCGTCAAACCAAGAACTGCATCGTCATAGTCATGCAAACGCTGTATCAACAAAATATCATTCACAGGTGCATCAGCAGTGAGCCTGCATGAAAACCATGACTGAAGATAAACACAAATGATAAACCGATTCAAACGTTGAATACCTTGTAATTCTCGAGCTGTTTAAGTTAAAAATGGTTTTATTTACGGTGAATAATAGTTCAATTTTTAATGCGTAGATGGCTTTTGCCATCCATCGTGCCCTGTGCCGTGCACCAGGTTTGCGAATGGCTACATCAACCTGCAGTTCAGCTATTTGTGCAGCAAGAAGTAGAAACTTTAAATAGTCATCTCGAGAATGTCTGACCTCAAGTTGACATTTGATGAATGCTTTAATTGCATCTGAAACAATTATCAAAGGGGTTGATCTGGCTTCTGGTGTGTGATTCATTTCTGTCCATTTTTTACGAAACCTTTTGAAGAATAAAATTTTTGGTTCCAAGACAAACACTATATACACCGGCAAGCAGCACTTCAAACTTATAATGACGGCAAGCCATCCATACTAAATTACGTCCCATGGCTTTTTCTAGAAGAGTGCAAGCTCCATTGAGTTTTCCAGTATTGGAAGCTGTCGTGTCAAAGCACATGCCAATAACCATTGATTCACACTTTCAAGATTTTATCTGTTCATGAACTGCATCAGCAGCTGCTCGTCCTAATCCAGGTGCTTACCTTGGAACTCCAAGAAGTTTTGTAGTGCCATCAACAAGTGATGAGAGCAGAACAGTTAACCAATCTACGTTGACAACACCAGTAACATGGCGAGTTGACTGGTTAAAAATATACATTTTTGCATTCTCTAATAAAGATTATCATTCTACAGGTAATTGTTAATAATATTTTAAACTATAATTAATGTCTGCAGTGAGATAATTAAACTAGTTTGCATTTCTAGCTTTATTTCACTCATTTTGTGCATATTGTTTAAGATTATTGATATGGATTTTGAATTAACTCTATAGTAAAATTTTAAAAGCCCTTGGGGGACCTCTCAAACTTGTTTAAATGAGCTGTAACTTCACCAATTTAATTATTGTACCCAAGAGACACTTTTCAGAGGGTGAGACATCAACTAATTAAAAAAAAAAATTTCCGTGCATTTCTGGGACACCCTAATATATATATATATATCTGCGTGTGTGCGTATGTGTGAACACAATCAAGCCTATATATTCCATTTATGAATATTGGAATAGCTAAAAAAATTCTCAAAAAACTGGATTGCTCGTGCACACAGGCCGTTCGTTATTCCAAAAAATACAAATCAATAAGATTTTATGGGACATTGGCGAGGTCATTAGGTTGAAATGATAACCAGTCAGTCAATCGTATCAGAATAGAAACGTCATTATAAACATTCAAGAAAATTAACAGAAATAGTCATTAAAAACAAGCGTTGAGAGATTTTCAACTTCATGAGTAGATTTAAAATTATTGTGGCATGTGGCAACTACGGCATTTTATTCAATAATACAATCATCCGATGTTACTTAATTAGTGACGAACATTGTTTTTTTATTTTCAATCTTGCTGACTAAATTTTGTTTATCATAAATGACAAAACCTTTCTATATTTCATCGTCAATATACTAAAAAAATCTCTACCAATCGGTACGGATTTTTTCTAGTTAGGTCGTAGCTCCAAATTCTCTTCCAATTTTATATTTGTATAAAAGGTATAGTTTATAACGATGTATGGGCGCCGATTAGGGAAGACACGGTACCTTTGTCCCACATAATTAAAAGTTGAAGTAAATCGGCATTTTTCTCTCCAAATATTTTAAAGAAACCTACACTTATTGATGGACTCTTGAAATTTCTATTACAATAATGAATTTCGCACCATTTCTTTAAATTTATTCAGTCAACTTGACAACTATAGTGAAAAAACAAATTATCCAATATTTTTACAAAGAGGTTAAAATGTTAAAGTAAAAAATAATTTAATTAGAAAAATTTCCTATTTAAAACATCTATTACTTATTTACCAAATTAATTTTAACTCGACAGCCTTGATCCAGAACCTTGATCCTGGTTTAGCACATCAACCAACCAACCAATCTATCAATCAATTAGTTTGTAAAGCGCTATTTTGCGATGTTCAACAGTGCTCCTCAGTGAATTTTGCAAACAGATGGGTCTTGAATTTTGTAAGTGATGGAGAAGTAGTCCAGTAGTAGAAGAGAAGGAGGCAGAGAGTTCCCAAGAAAAGGGTCAGACAAAGCAAACGCTGATTTAGCAAAAGAAAATTTAACACGAGTTGAGAAGAAGACGATCATTAAGAAGTGTGAAAGCGGCACTGCTCCAACAAACTAAATTTTTGTGATATAAATTTGAAACAATTGTTTGATTGTAAAAAAAAAGATTAAGTACTTTTGTAACGAAAATACAAAATTGAGATAATGGCAATGGCGGATTAAAAGTTTCACCAGGCAAATTAAGAAAGATAATTTATTTGATGTAAAAATGAATGTACGCTTTACTATTTACATCACCATCAACAAACAAAAGTTTTTTAAATGTTGTTGACAGATTTCTTTTGTTACTTAAAATAGAGTTTAATTAACAAATAGAAATCCAAAACAATGCAATATCTTTAGCAACGCTGATGAGATGACAAATTAATACAATCCAACAAAAAGTAGACAACATCCAAACCGAGTTTATGGAAACATTTAATTTTATAGTTGTTTGAGTGAATGGGTAAAACAAATAATTTATTTATAACAACATTCGACTAGGCCTTATTAACGTTTGCTTTTTAAAAAAGATATTTCATCAAATCAACCATTCAAAAAATGAATCACGACAACAACCACCCAAAATGTTCTGAAACTTGTTACACTAAATAAACATCTTACAGAGTTAATTAACGTAGCATATATTAAAATGTGGTAATAACGACACTTACAATGGTAAATCAGAGTGTTAGAAGCATGTACAACAAAAAAAATTTAAAACCAATAGGTGACCAATATTGTTTAAAAAATTAATTTGCATGACACTTCTATTAAAGTAAACGTACCAGCAAACAAAAAAGTGGTTAAAGTGTCTAAAAAATATCCTTCACAAACCAATTAATGTATGTAAATTTGAAATTCGAATAAAATTTTTATATTGGAATGTCCATAAGCCATAATAATAAATGTAATTATTTTAGGCTGGGTAATTAAACATCACTGTCGTCTTCATCGTCATCATCATCGTCATCACTCACGAATACCTGGAAACAACTAAAACTCGATTGGATAATACTTGCCGAGAATTCAATGAAGAATTTAACCGCGTATATATATGATTAAACATGATTCTTCGTAACGGGTAATTTTTATCAATTCAACAATCACTGCAATTCGATTATCAAATGCATTTAAAAATAGGCAATTAAATAATTAACTAAAACTTATCATAATTTGGTCAATATATCAAGTGAATATGATTTTTAAAAATGTAAAACGAAGATATATATATATATATATATATATATATATATATATATATATATATATATATATATATATATATATAGAGAGAGAGAGAGAGAGAGAGAGAGAGAGAGAGAGAGATGTTGTCGGTAAAACAATAATCAATTTTTACATTTACTCATATATATTAATTAGTTTTGAAGCTGCTCACAAACAAACAATCAAACAAACGTTAATTAAGGCAGATCTTAAAATGGAATTCAATCACACTACATATAGATGGATTAGGTGAATTTTCCATTACATTGATGAATGATCCACTCAAAAAAACGTCGTTTTAAAAAAACTGATTAAATTATTAATTAAAATGATCTCATAATTATATATATATATATATATATATAATTAGAAAACTATTAAAAACATTTCTATACAAATCATTTGAGAAAGGATGAATACCAAACGTGAGTTATAGAGTCGTAAATAAATCAATACGTGACGCGTTATCAATATGAAGAATGAATATCAACAATAAAAACATGATTCTTAAACGTCTATAAATTAATAACGTATAAACTATATGCTACATATATACATTCATATAACGATCATCAAATATAATGCAACGAGTTCGTACTTAAAAAAAGTTGCTAAGACTTTTTGTGAAAGTCCGACCGCTAAGTTAGAGCCAGCAAAATGTGGATGAGAATTAAAACATTTGCAATTAGAAAAAAATCAAAATTGATATGGTAAAGGAGAAGTGAAACATATATATCACACACACGCACACACCCACACGCAAACATACACACGTACGCACACACACAAAATACATATACATACTTTACAATGAAAGCTATAAATGTAGAATGTTTGTTTATAAAAAATTTGTCTTCTAAACTTCACCAATGAGATTAGTGTTGCACACACACACACACACACACACACACACACACACACACACACACACACGCAATGCATAACAAATTCAAAACCAAAAAATGTTAACAGACTGACAACCATGTTTGTAAATGCACGCGAATTGAAAAAATTACTTTTTGTAATATCTAAAGTTTTCACCAATGCGTCTAAAAATTCTCTAAATAACATTCACTGATTAGAGCAACTATTTCAACTGTTATAAAATCAGCGGAAATACAAAATGACGAATAATTTAATAATAATCTGCAATACTTATTTTCAATAAATAACAAGAGTCAACATTTTAAAACAAAGGTTCTTATTTAAAGAAATATATCCACTCATTAAGTTCTGTACATGAAAATCCAAATCCGAATTTGAATATTTTAAATGAATATAATAAAACTGTTTGATAAATTAGTGTTACAATAATGTCAATGAAGTTCTGTGATGTCTTCCAGGCTCCAACCAATGGCAAAATTTAGAAAAACTTTCCGTTACCTTGTAATCAATTTCTGGTTAAATGACCACAGCTGAACAGTGCACTTCTGTAACAAATAAAAATTGAGAAACATTTCAACATGGGGTTAGTAAAGTTATAAAATCAAAGCCTTTTTTAAGAATAAGAGGAAGAAGAAAAAAATTAATTTTGCAAAAAGCATGGAGGCTGAAGTTTGAAAGAACGTATCGCTGTGTGCAATTTGTATGAGATTACATCAACATATCCATGAAGAAAGTTACTATCAAAATTGATAGAGTTAAAAAATTAATTACATGACTGATGTAATTAAATAAGAGATGTAATTATATAAGTGATATGATTGTATAAAAATTGATAAATATTGAGTAATATTATTATCATTCAAGAAATATAAAATTTATAGCAACTAAAATATTAATATGATCACAATACAGAACTGTTTAAACACAGTTCCTAACTTAGAAACCCTGCTAAGAAAATGCAAGGAATAAGATGATAATTACTGAGTTACAGACAGCGATTGAAACAGGTACAGCGCAATAACAGCACACAACATATAATGGGCACCAACCACTATACCTAACAATAGAGACACGGTTTACTCGTTAAATGAAGGATAAAAACAGCAGACACCGAACCTTATTTACGCAGTTTACAATCTCTGGATGTACGTGGCAGCATTGGCTGGCACTGCAGGTGTAAGAAATAAAAAATATGTTTCATCATGCTCTGGTAACATACTCCAGTTTATGTACTACAAATTAATTTGGAAAGTATAACACTGAGTGATCTAACTAATCAACGTTTTTGTTCACATTGCATAGCTGTAGAATGAATCATCATCATTATCATCATCAATATGACTAACAACGACATCATCATTATCGTGAACAATGACGTCATCATCATTACCTGTTAGTGGCACATCCGTTTATTGAACAACGCATTAAAAATTATTGTAATAATCTAAGATTCGTTGCTATTCATTGATACCACCATATAGTGTACCTACTGTACAGTAAAAATGCAGTTCAGTTTATATTCAATGCATTCAATTGAATGAGTAGTTGAGTGAGCGAACAAGTGTGCAGTTGAATGTGCAAATAAGTGTGCAGTTACGACAGTTCAGGCAGCAATTGAAAATGCGTTCGAGTGTACAGTTAAGTGTCCTATTGAGAGTACAGAGTTAGGTGCACAGTTACGTACGTTGTTGAGCATACGGTCATGGCTAGAATTAAGTATCTATCTTAACCACCTCTTCGTACATTTTTCTGCACCATTTAAGGATTCGAAGCTTTAGCTTCCTAAAACTTCCCCACATTTCAATCATATCTGAATTTCATTTTATCACAATAACATCGTATGAACAATGAAACAAAACATTAATGAAGCCATAATAATGTATTAATATAAATGTATACTAATAACATGGTAATGGAAGGTATTGAGGTTGTGAGGGCAGAGGTAACTGCGTGAAAGAGAGCTGCTGTGACGGCAGCTGTGTGTACATGGGCAGACCACTCTTTGCGTCAATCAGTGCTGTTCGTTTCATGGATGGAATATAAGAAGCTGCTGGTCCTGTCATCTGCGGGATTTCCGAATTTAATTTTTTAATTTAATTTTTCAATTTGGATGGCGCGATGGCGTAGCGGTTAAATGTCTGGCACTGCTGTAGTAGTGAGCAGATTCGACTGCAAAAAGACCCTCACCTATCACATGCAATGTGTGTGATGCGCTGTATCACGTGCATTTTTTACATGTTGATATATTCCTAAACAAATGCAAATGAATTAATGTTGGAATGAAGATGATATAAGCGATGACTTGCAAACGTTATAAAAGATAGAATTTATTCAATTCAAGTGGGACTTAGATCGAAGCTGTTATTAAAAGTTAGAAGTTAAAAGTTAGAATGTTGAGATGTTCAAAAGTATCATTTAAATGTATTTGTATATAAATAAGTTTGGTGAGTAAGTCGAATGGCCAAAAATGAATGTAGAGTCAAAAATGCTGAGAGGTATTTCGGCTTCTACAAAAGTGTATTCAGGTTCAATATTTCAATATGAGAGTTGCCCTGGTTGAAGGCGATTGAGAGGTGATGCAACTTGCAACTGAAGAGAACTTGTAAGAATTTGACATTGGCTCTTTTATTCATCATTCTTTTTCATCATATCATGTAACATTTTATAGTAGCTGGTAACGAAATTAACGAAAAGGAATGCAATAAAACATTGATATGCTTCTAAGATATACCAAAAGATTTGATTAAATTATTAAATTTTCAGTGTAATTGAAAACACATTTTATTTTAAGCCAACTGCCTGATAGTTTACATGTAGGTAATAATGCATGTTCCTATCCGGCAACTCTATGTCTCCAATTTTAAAATACATCCCAACTAAACAATACACTTACTTTGCAATAAACAATGCAAAGTTGCGCCATTTTAAATTATCCCAAGCAACATTGTTTTTAAAAATTTGTTTTTTTTTCGATTTATTCAACAAAAATGCTAAATAAATAATGTAATTGTTGTATTGCTGAATTTGAACAGCGCTTCTCACAAGTCGACATCAGATTTCTTTCTTTTCATTCAGTTGTTTCACACGATTGTTCAATTTGACAATTGTTGGATTCGACGATATAAACAAATTGAAATATCAGTGTATGTGTCTGTGTATATAATTTCCAACGCTTCAGTTCAAGTGAAACTACTTACTGCCAACTGCGTGCATTAATTACGTGCGTTAATTAACTGAGAATAGATCAACGCCGGTTTCCTCCGGCTAAGCTGCATGCAAAAAAATTATAAAAACCAGCATCACCAACTTAATGTCATTAATTTTGTGGCCGCTGTTGCACTCATTATTACATTTATGATGATGATATTATGAAAATTAAGGATGAGAAGTGAAGGAAGGAAGAGAATGGAGCAGCAGCATACCGCGTGAGGAGGATGAGGATCCAGAGCATCATGAGCTCTCTTCCTGCTCTGTGATGCAACGCTCACCTTATCATCAGTCACCTGTATGTTAATAATTTTCATCATACAACGTGGTGCATGGTGGAAACACAACGGGAATGTTGTGTTATATAATCAAGAAACTTTTATCCGCATTATCTTATTTAATGCATTTCCTCGTTAATTAATTTAATTTAATTATATTTAAGATAAGTTATGAAGAATTTCATGCAAAGTTATCTAAACATAATCATAGAAAAAGTATAAATGAAGAAACTTACAAACGAGTAAATGTTTTTATGATTAACATAATGATGATGATAATAATAATTAATGATATTATCATGGAATGTGCAGTGATGAAATCATTTATTAAACACGAAAGCTTAGCGTGGCAGGCAGGTCTGAACATGAAAATGTAAATTAAAATAACCAGCCGCATCGTCATCACTTCTCTAACTTGAATAAAATGAAATATCGAAACGTTTATCGTTATATTAAAAAAACATAATACTTCAAGCCTCTGAGATTTAAAAAAAACGAATATGAACGAAAAAAGATTATAAAATTGAATGCAAATAATGAGAATACTATTTCAATGATATTAATGGAATGCATGACTTTATGTTAGAACAAGCTATTTACAATATTATTATAATGAGATCCACAGTTCCTGGCTAAACGTACGTACACATTAACATACAGTTAATGGAGATTATGCTTCAAATGAACTGAGCTGACAACGTATTTTAATGAAAAAAATAATAAATTAAATTAATGATTTTTGAAAAAAAGAGCAAACATGAAAAATATAAAATAATTTAGTGGGTAAAATAAATCAGAGTTTCAAACAAAACTGAGTTCTGAATACAATGCATTATTTCAGAACATAAAAAAGAGAGAAATTATTGAATAGAGGAGGATTACAAAGCAAGCTATACAAAGACGATCTGGACTGAAATGATCCATTCTCTATGTATCAAAAAAATCTTCAACCACCATCGGCGTGATGTGATGGTGTGTGTGTGTCATTTCGATCATTTCAATAGCAACACCGAATCTGCAGTACCGTTCGCAACACCAACACAACACTATAAGCAACAAACAAATATTGAGTTAGCTGTAAAATAAATAACGTCTGGCATTAAAACCAAGCCACGAAACAAAACTACTCTTCAACTGATCTATGGTTATGATGGTGACAACGACGATGATAATGGTGATAGTGGTGATGATGATGTTGATGATGGTAGTGATGATGGTAGTGATGAGGATGGTGATGATGATGTTGATGATGGTAGTGATGATGATAGCGGTGATGATGTTGATGATGATGATGATCGCCATCTAAGAAGCAGCAAGCTATCATGAGCACATTGAAAATGAAATACTAAAATTCTTATCAGCGAATAAAAACAGAGAACGAGGAAAACGAAGAATAAAATTAGAAAAAAAATCAGTTGATTCTCACAAGGTTTTCATCTGAAATATTTAACAGATCTGAAATAAATGACATGATGTAATGTTAATTCAGTGAACAATATATTTGATTTCAACTTTAACACAACAATATCAGTAACAAGATCAGCAACAAAAACAGACAGACAGACAGACGAACAAACAAACAAACATTTGCAACGAAGTGACAACCAGCATCTCGCATCATCACATAAAATGTTGCATACAATCGATAACAACATTGCCCGAATCAATATTGAATAAATTATATTCATTTATGTACAAGGCAACAAAGAGATTATATTTAAACTTTAGGCTTATCTACTTGAACAATAGATATGAAATGAAGAGTATAACTGCATAGAATAAAAATATAAAAGTAACTAATAAGTAAAATATAGAAGAAATAAAGTAGGAAATTTTATGGTAGTGTAATTTTTGAGAGTTTCCAGTAAAATATTCTTCAAGTTTCATTTATTTCTCATATTTTGAAGCATGGTTTAAAAGCTAAACCTCATTTGAAATGTTTCATAACTTAACCAATATGTCTTTAACTTCAGCCCTGACAAGATCCTAATTTACTCACATCATCAAAAATGGCTAACTGATGTAATACAAAAACTAATCATGCTTCTTCATCTACAAGAACTACATTTTTAATCATTCTTCATTCTCAGATCACTCTTCTCATCTTACAGTGTATTTCTTAATCTAGTCTTTACTACAGCAACCGAATTTTCATTTCACTTTCATTTCATTTAAGGGTAGTGACGGCTATTTTCATTCCAGAAAGCCAATACCAACACACGCATTCACGTAAACACACACGCACTTTATTCAACAACTGGAATTTTTATGATCAGATGACAATTTCCTATTTAAGCAATGTTTGTAATAAACAGGAAAACATCTATATACCCTTAGTATAGATAAATGCAAAAAGTTACTCAAATAGTCAATATGAATGAGTCATGTGTCTTTAACATCCGACGAATCAATGAAACAATCAAATTTAATTCAATACCCTTAAGTGAATTGAATGAAGCAACAACGATCAATAAAACCTACCATTGTTGTTTGAAGAAGAAGTTGTTGTGTGTGTTGGACGGTTTGTTGGTGGGACGCTTGTTGTTGGTGTTGTTGCACCTGCTGCCTCAACTTCATAGTGGCATCTGCCTGGGGCACCAAAGCATCTATGTACGGAATGACCTGACGTCACGATATGGCAGCGTCATCAGATGATGACATATAATCCACGAAGCAGACATAAAATTAGACAAGATTGCATGAAACTGTCACTCTGTGAACTACTTAACAAGAAAATTGCTAAACAATTTATTTAATTACGGCTCAAACGAAATGGCCACCAACAATATAAAAAAATAGTGATTAATTTAAACGAGAACAGACTTGCAGCTGATAATTATTAGAAGCGTTGATCATGTTGAGAGGAATGACATTGGGGGCGTATTGAGACGACGAACCACCAGCTGTAGGACACCATTGCTGGGGTATGCAGGGGGACTGATGTACTGGTACTGCGTTTGCTGGTGATGATACGGTAAACTGGGAGTTGTGGAGGGGATGATGTATGGACTGCCGGCTGTCTGTTTGGTGAATGCATTATCAACATCATTATTGAAAATATTTTAATGTTGTATGTATTTTTATTTTTTTATCATCATTAACATTACTGTTGAAATCAAACATTTTAACAGCTTAAATTAAAATAGGGAGCAAGCATTACAAAATGAAATTAAAGATCTAAGTGAAAGTTAGATTGAGTGAAAGTTTTTGAGTGAAAGATTTCACCAAGAATTACTGATGAACGTTGAAGCACACTTTCTTTCCTATAAATATTTATACATAGCTGTCCATCTATGCAGGTCATGTTTAACTTAAATTGAATATCATCATTGCATGGAAAAGCAATGCCTAGGTCAGAAATTTATTAACAAATAAGAAATTAATAAACAAATGAATAAGTAATTGCCAACTAGCGAAACAAATAATCATTTAATTGATTAGTGACTATGGCTCAGTTACTAATTATACATGAATAAATAGAGGCAATTATTTGGCAATTGCAAAATGTTCAAACGTCTACTGCTATGAATGATAAACTGAAGAGAAAAAATTATGAAAATTATCTTAAAGAGAATCATCTATATTCACTTAATAAGCAGATGTTGAATAATGGTGATGAAAATTTGTTCAAAAATATCACCTTGCACCGAACTCACATTGCAGTGCAGTTATCTCATGTTAACTAATATCACAGACCACCATTTAATGACTGAATTTCAAACAAGTAAAACATCTGTAACGGTTTAATATCAGTCAGTCAGTCAGTCAGTCAGTCAGTCAGTCAGTCAGTCAGTCAGTCAGTCAGTCAGTCAGTCAGTCAGTCAGTCAGTCAGTCAGTCAGTCAGTCAGTCAGTCAGTCAGTCAGTCAGTCAGTCAGTCAGTCAGTCAGTCAGTCAGTCAGTCAGTCAGTCAGTCAGTCAGTCAGTCAGTCAGTCAGTCAGTCAGTCAGTCAGTCAGTCAGTCAGTCAGTCAGTCAGTCAGTCAGTCAGTCAGTCAGTCAGTCAGTCAGTCAGTCAGTCAGTCAGTCAGTCAGTCAGTCAGTCAGTCAGACCATAAACTCAAGTGCATAGGTGAAGAGCATGTACCATAGAGTTGCAGTAATTACAAAAACAACATTTTTATGATCAGTATACTTATATGGTCAGTTTATAATTACATGGTCAGTATATACATACATGGTCAGTATAGACATACATGGTTAGTATACATACAAAAACATTTATGTGGGTTTTAGTGTTTGATTCCTGTGTTTTTTGAACAAATTTGTGTTAGTCAAGTGGTAGTAATTATATATTAAATTTGCAGGAACATAATCATCATGTTTGAATTGCTGTGAAACATCTCACCAGTTAAATAACGCTGTTAAATCACAAATAAAGATTTTAATCAATGAGAAGCCTTTATATTATAAAAAAATACTGAATCTTTAATTAATTTTACATTTTTTTTACAGCGTCTGCCAACTTTTTATAATTTTAACTGGTCAAATATTTGTTTCTACTGAACATGCACTCACTAAAGTGTTTAGTTGTATAAAGAATGTCAATGATAAACAAAATACTCTGACATGCAGCTCACATCTTCAATATAATGATGGTAAAAACAGATCATTCGTTAGTTATAAAATTAATAGAATATACAAATTTATCACAATTGGTCAAAGTAAAACAACATGTACATACCACACGCACGCACAAACAAACACACACACACAAACACACATACACAAAGAATAACAATAACTTTAAAAAAATTCCTGCAAACAACTCAACCAATCAACATGTAAATAAAGCAAAATTAAACAAAAATAACAAGTGGGGAAATTGCCACCAATGGTTTTATCATTTTTATTTATGGATGTTAAAACAGACTGGTTAACCAATTTTTATACAAACGTCTTTAATCTATATTTAGTATAATATTGAAATAAATGATAGAAATTAAAATTGAATAAAACAAATAGGTAGAAATTTTTTAAATAAATGCACCCTAATAATGACAATTTGAGATTTTATTGATACTGCATGTATAACCTTTAAAAGATATGATAAGTAATAAAAAGGACCAGATGTGAATGAAGAGAAATAATTAAAAACAAATGATTAAAGAGCCAAGCAGATTATTATAACCATTATAATTAATGACAAGCAGTTGGCAACCAGGATGTGTGGTACATCAAAAATAATTCCCCCCTTGTTTATGTTGTACATTTACTGCCATGTAAGATCTACAACATAGAGAGTATGGAAACAAAATCTCAAAATTTAAAGTATAAAAAATAATAGTGGCAATGAACCTTGAAATAAAGTACTCTGGTGAGAAATTTATTTTCTAAATTAATAGTTTCAACAGACAAAGTTTAAAAACAAACTCTCAACACAAAAGTAGAGATTACATTAAAAATAATAATCCAGAATATTTGAGTGTTTAAGTAAGACATCATCAATATGTTTGTTACATTTGTTTTATGCTGTCCTGATGAATATCATTTTAAAGATTCATCATTGCATGGCAACAATTTTTTACAAAATAATAAAATTCTGTAAAGAAAATAACCAGTTTTCATTCAAATTATAGAAAAAGTAGTCACTTTTGAACAAGAGAAGGATTTTTAAAAAGACTTTCATCAATAAATAGCGACTTCAATTTTTGATCATTTTGAAGAAAGAAATCAACCAATTAATAACGAGAGAATCTAATTGACAACAGCAAGAAATGGATTTCCTTCAACGAAGAAAATTTCTGAAATTTTCATAAAAATCGAAAAAACGAAGATAATTGAGATTGTGGAGTAGCTGGCACTCAAGCAACATGTACAAGGAGGTGAAAACATTTGTTTGGAAATAAAATCGGCAGTCAATAAAAAAGTTTTGCACCGGTAAACAAAGGAAGATCAAAGTAAAATTAATACTATATACATAATACAAAAAACTTCTCTTTATTTCAGTTTATACTAAACTATGTAAAAACACGTTAATAAAAATAAATGCAAATCCAACATTTGAAAATACTTAATAAACATTAAATAACATTTTTACAAAATGGAAAAATATTCAAAAATTTTGTTTCTATATCTACCAGAAAAATGTGAGTGGAGTAGAGAGATATGATCTGCATATTATTAGTATTGAAAATTGAAAATTATTCCATGGTCTTTACTCAAGCAGGTGTTTTATGTCTACAAAAATATATACCAATATATAAATAATAATTAAAAAATGTGTATTTATTCATTTTGTTTATTCATTCATTCATTCATTCATTCATTCATTCATTCATTCATTCATTCATTCATTCATTCATTCAGGAAGTAACATTTGTGAGAAACGCAACAGAGCCAATGATCTAATGATCTAAAGAGAGTGACATATTACAGAACACTCACAATACAAAATCTGACGTTAATCTATCCACACACAACAATGCAACACGTTTGAAAGAAGAAAGTAATTCCAATTTTCATGCAACAAAGAAAACGAATTGTAAAATGAATGAAATTTATTTGAAAAAAAAACAGAATAAAAAATATATAAAAATTTAAATTAATTGATCAACCTAAAATAAAAAAAAATGATTGAACTGCAATGTTACGATAACAAAATTGTAAACTATCAGTAGAAGTGAATTGACTCAATATCATTATACTGGTAAAGAAGCAACAAAGGATGGATTAAAAATTGTTTGATTGTTCAGATAAAAGGAGATGTATGAATAGTTTAATGATCCACGAAACGTTCATACCTAGGATTATTTAGTTATTTATTTGAAGAATATTGAGAAACATTTTTATGATTTATTGCACAATTTTTTAATAATTTTTGAGACAATCAGCCGGATAGTAACATTTTTCTATATTATTATAGATAGAACAACAACTGTAAGACTGTCAAACAAAAATGTTAAAGTATAATGAGAAGAAGGTTTAGACAAACCTCATTTGTAAGCTAAACAAACAACACACGTTTAGACGACATTTTCCCCGAGATTAGGGGGTTGCCGTTTGGCTACCTATGATGACACCGAAATACCCCTCGATGCCATTCCATCATAAGTAATTTATTTGGCTAATTTTTACGCAGGACGCCCTTCCTTACGCAACCACAGTTATAAGCGGTGGGCCTAGCCTTTGATGATCCAACATCCCTCACAAGGCAGTGAGGGTCAGTTTAATGTCATAACCAGGACATTTGTAAGCTAGATAGATTTGAAATTTGATAAGCTAAATAAATAACTTGCAAAATTTTTTCATCTTGCTTAACAAGTATCATAAGAAAAGATTTTTAAATAAACAGCGAGCACATTTTTAAAAACCTTTAAAATAACAATTTGTCTTAAACTATTTATTAGAAACTACAAATTAAATTTGCATTATGAGTTCAGCTGATTTTAAACATATTTAAAACAAACTACATCTAATATATATAACATATATATATATATATATATATATATATATATATATATATATATATATATATAGATTTATAACAACATAAACCTTTAGATATGCAAACACATCCTTTATTTTCAATGTTGTTAAGCGTGTGTATGAGCGTTGTGTTAACATCGACGAGCAAGGAATATCAAATATTCTTTGTAATTTCTTTTAAAATTAAATCAACGAAACACATCTTTAATGCATAACATCAACCTCTCAAAAAGCAGCCATAAAAGATACAGAACTATCTCAAGACTAAAACAAACTAGGCAATAAACAACAGTTATGGAAATGAATAGAGGTGAACTCACAGCATACTGTTGATTCTGTAATATCATGGTCTGATAAGCAGGTGGTATGACAGGCTTTGCTGAGGAAATCTAGAAATAAAAAAATAGTGATCACAATATGATTGCTGAAACATTTATTGCAGATATTTCAATTGGGATAGACCCTTCCATTAATGTTTATGTTTTATCTAATTTATCTAAAAATGTTAGCTACTCGTAACGTGACGTAACGTAACGTAATGTTAGCTACTCGTAATGTAGGAATCAACTCCCATGTTTAACTTTTTTACAAACAAATTACAATAGGCACAAATTACAATATCATAAAAATGTTTATCATAAAAATCTAAAAAAATCTAAATATGCTAACATTTATTAAATGATTAGGCGATTAAAAGAGGAAAAATGATCTAAAATGACTTCAGTATAATAATTTATTGCTCCATAATGCACACACAAACAAATATATCTACAAGAATATTTGTTGACACTGAACAACATAATGGAATAACAAGAAGAAATTTAAATTTTAAATGATTAACATTATGGGAACACTCATGCACTATAAATTATGTATGAAGTTTAAAAAATTTTTAGTTTTTCTCATAATTTATCGTCATCCTTATCAACTTCATCCTCTTCAACCACCTCTAACTCTGTCATCATCGAAGCATTCTTCATTATCACATCTCCACCACTTTTTTAATCATCCTTATTACCAGTGTCTTAAGTAATTAATAAGTAATTAGGTAATTAGTGGTCATCAACCTTTTTTTAATTTATAAGCAGCGTTTTTTATTCAGAGTTGATTTATCAAGCAGTATCAAACTCAATTTCATATGCAATCTCAGAAAGCACAGTAACATTTCAGTTAATGATGTAAATAATTTTGCATTGCACCTTATAAAAACAGCTGGAAACAAACATTGCACCAAGCAAGACACACCACATGACCATCTCTAAAAATAGAAAAATAAAATAAGAAAAGGACTGCCTGCCTACAGAATGAAAAACATATCAATAATACTAATATTTCCCGTCAGAAGAATTCCCGGAATGAGCAAGAATAATGATGTAGCAATGAATCAAATAATTTCTAGAGCAATGCTCTCCAACGTTTACAATGTTGCAAATACGCCCAATCTTATTTTAGTAACAACATATTCATTTGTGATATCAACACAGTCAACAACTTTTTTTTCATTAATAACAACAGCCCAAAACACATTGCTATCCACAGAAGATTCATTTATATATGAACCACACATATATTTAACAAAAATCAACTTCTGTGACATTCTACAAGCCACATACACAATCTAAACATAAAAAAAATTGGCAGATCTCTTCCAAATATACTTTAACTTTGAAAAATTAACTTCATTGGGAAAATAAAACGATAACAAAGTCAGTTCTTTTAATTACTTTGTTTTAAAAACTGAATTTGACTTCATAATATATTTGTTCATTTGTTTAAAATTTTAGATGATTGCAAACATTTGAACGAAAAGCCAGCATTTAAGTAATGTCAAGTAAGTACCTTTTCATTCTCCATAATTAACATTTGCATAAAAATAGGGTCCACAAGTTTGTGTAGTATATTCACGACTACAGGCAACAAAATGAAAAAAATCATAACAAAATCAACAACCAGAAGACTGGATTGAAGATTTCTAAGACTACAAAAAAATTTCACTTCCATGTCTTGAATGAAGTTTAATAAATTAATAGGAAAATAAAAAATTTTGAAATGCTCCGTTAGGATCTGAAAGAAAGTGAGACACATAAATTATGATAATGCTTGTCTCCTATATCTTGCAACCATCAAAATAATCAATATGTTAATATAGAATGAAAGTTGAACAATATTACCCAAAAAATTATGTAGAAATCATTCACAACCAAATCGTAACAGTAAACAACTTATGAGCTAATTACAATTTAAGGCTATCAAATCCGAAACAAGAAATAAAAAAAAGAAGAAGAGTAGAAAGACACATCAACAAAGATCAACCATAGTGAACAAAAATTTATTAAAAAACATAGGCAAGACTGTGCTGATGAACTGAGATGAATGCAACAGCATCAACATCAACATCAGCTGCCTCCACATAAATTAAAAAAACATCCATCATCACATCACTACATTTTTTTTTTATTCATTCATCATGAACACGTATGTACAACTCACAAACTTTAATAACTAATTCTTAAAAAATTATATTACCAAATTAAATTATGTTGAAAATGAACTAGACAGAGTTTACAAATTAATATGAGATTAAAAATCTCATTGAACCATTAATTCAAAGCAATAAACAATATGACAATACCAATGAAGATGATGAATTGTTAGTAATATTTATATATCAATAACACAACAATCCTCTATAATTTTTTAAGTATGGAAAGAGCAAAGTTGAGTTAAAACCAAAAATGAAGTTCTTAATAATATTTTCGAAATCATTAACTACAATAATACTGTTTTTTTTTGTTGTTCAAAAATTGCTAACTATTATTAGAGTATGTAATTTATGTAAAGTAATGTAATTTTTGTCATGTAATTTTTTAAAGTACCCTAGCATAATGTACAGTAAGTTCTACCAGATCATTCCAAAATAAGGCATATAACTAGCATTCCAATGAAAATGTTAAAACGAGGAATACAATACATACAAAAATGTAATAGAACAAACAAACAATCAATAATTATTTCCTCCCACAAATAAAAATAAATTCAAACGTAAAAATTAAGACAACCAAAAATAAAGTCAAACTGTAATAAAAATGATTACTGAAATAAAGAAAAAAATTGAAAAAACTTACGAAAGGTAATGAGTTGGAAGCAGCAGAGACTGCAATGACAGGCTGTAAGAGGCCCGAAGTAAGAGCACTTTGAAGTTGTAAGTTTTTAACGATCAGATTCTGCCGACCCATCTCGAGAAGCTGTTCCTTTAGGTGCGTGGGTGGGTGGAGATACTTGCAAGGAGGAGTCAATCGCTGACACTTGCTCTGGAAAACAATTCATTTCATGTTAATTTTTTTCTTTATTTTCTGGTATTCATCATTTCAACAAAATTTAAAGTAAGAAATGTACTTTGATATAGTCAAAACAGCAGACAACTTTTCCATTGTGAACGTCAACATGAGAGGGTGGGTGTGCAAACTTGCATTCAGTATCTGCATTGGGACACTCTCCTTTGGAAAATTCTTTACAGACATCCAGTGTCAACCATCTGGCATCTTTTCCTGGTTTCAGTATGTAGGTTGCCATCTAATCTGAAGTTATGAAAAAATATTTTAAAATTACAACCATACCTGTAAAACTGTAAAGATTATTTATTTTATTTTGCAGTACAATTATAAACATTTAATAATTTTAAGCATTATATAGTGGATGAATGGCTACTCTCAAAATTTTTAGGCTAGTGCTAAGTTAAGTAACCAAGTAAAACTAACTAACCTTAATAACAACATTAACGCTAACTAAGTAACCAAGTAACACTAACTAATCCTGGCTAACATTAACGCTAACTAAGTTAAGTAACCAAGTAACACTAACTAATCCTCTAACCCTGCTATACTAAGTTACAGATCATCTAATAGAATCTAGTCATCTACTGTCTACTCTCCTACTTACTCACATTATTACCCTGGTCTAGTCTAAAACTCGACACTACACCTGCAACTAGAGCTAGTCTGCTAGTGTAAGTGTCGTAGAAAATTAAAAAACCTTGAAAGTTAATTAATTTAATTTTTAATCAAAATAAATTTCCATTTAGCTGATTTCCGAATAGTTTTAAATAAAAAAAATGAGAGAAACGACATAGTCATGAAAATTATTAGTTTATTTTTATTCATTTATTTATGACTTTTGATTATTTTACATTGAATAAAAATAATAAAGTAATAAACAATAAAAAACAATTCTTCAAAGTAAAACTGAAATCTTATCATACTTACTTTTCTCATTCGGATCGGATTTAATAAATCTTATATTATTTTTGAAATATAAATATTAAACATGAAATACTATTTTTATTATATTAATATCTTTATTCTTTTTAAAATCATTAAAAAAATAATTATATTATACGCACGTACGTACGTGCCTCAGCCGATCTCTTGTTTACCTGGACTGTTGAATGTTTGGTGTTGCCAACTTTCTATTTCTTTTTACACATCTACAATAACTCAAATATATATATATATCAACATTTCTAATTTATTTATCTTTGATAAATATTATTAATTATTTATTTTATTTACTAATTTGTATATGTGTTCTATAATTTCTAACATTTATTTTGAAGACACTTCCTTTTTAAAATCTGATGGATTGATTGATTGATCAGTCGATCGAAATATCATTTTCCTCGTGAAACTTTAATTTTCCAATCCTCAAACTATTTTCTCGGTATATTTTATTGTTATTGCTCCCATCGTATTCTTCCCATTATAAACTTTACTGGAAACAAGAACAGCATTATCATCTTTAAAACTGGTGCAGGGAACCCAGTAACAGCACAAGTTTGGGTTTAACGTGAGCTAAAAAAAATAGAATAAAACTTCGCAAACGCTTCCAGGTCAACCTTCATGTCAAGTACAGTAATTCAATTCATATAGTAATTACGTGCTTTCTATCCTATATCAGATAAATAAATTCACGGGACATCAAAAGTTTCAATTCTGTGGCTCGTTTAGTTGGATCAAATTAGGTTATAAATTTGATTGAACAATTCCGTTAAAAACCAAGACAATAATTTGATTCAAAAATCCTGCGGTGGATAAATAAAAAACACAGTCATTTTAATTAGTAGAAAAGACGCTACTGGTACTTCAAGACATTGTACTGTACATCATTGTTTTTAAACAGTTTTCAAACTGCTAATAAGTTAATGTAAAAAATGTGTATCATTTAATTAAAAGAACTATGTATTCGATTGAATAAAAACTTATAAAACTGTATATATTATGTTTTTTTCTTGTTTTCGATGAAGCAAACGTGCTAACTTAAGAATTTGTTTTGCTTACCCCACAATACTAAAGTCTCACAAGTTATTTTGTCTCATTGCCCAATAAAATTAATTTTCTTAACGAACGTGATAATTATTAATATAGTATTTAAGATGCGACATTAGATATTAGAAGTTCAATTTTTTCAATTGCGTAATAACACATTAAAACTATATATTTATATCGATAGAGTCGTCCTCCATCTTAATCTGCATTTTAGAAAATGTTTGCAGCTCTTCTGAAACCTCTAGTCCTCATAGGATAGGCCATGCATTAAACAAATAATGATATGATGTCCACGGATTGTTTAAAAAATGCTTTCTCGGAAGAAATTAAGATGCACGTTGCCTGATCTATTGTTTATAACGTTGAATTGGTGGAAACTATTGTTACCTACAGCCTAATAGATATATATGCAAACACAGATCTTTGAATATCGTTGAAAAATTGAAGTAAGTAGCTTTTTTAGGCCAGCAGAGAAATATTTTAAGCTAAAATTATTCGAACTAAAAGACTGTTTAAAATATATAAAATCAGTATCAAATTGCGTTCTTTACTCATAAAAACGGAGCCACGTCATGTTGAAAAAGAAACCTTACCAATATATTTGTTGCATGTGCAAGTGCATCTGCATGATTAATTTAATAACAATTTTTAGATTACAACCGGTTTTTTGAAGAAATGTCTCTTAAGAGACATGTTCGTTACGTTCGTTATTTATTTGTCATGAGACGTGTTGATCGAAGTACGCTATGACGTTATTTGAATCACTAAAATTTTAATTGGAACTTTTCATATTTATCATTTTTTTCTATTAGAGGGTTGAAAAACCAAAGCATATTTCCCAAACAAAACATTTTAAATAGAGATATTCAAAATTTATATCAACTTTCTGTACGATTTTAAACCAAATTCACTGATTTAGGTGGGAGGCTTGTATTCTAAGTAGATGCACTGATCAATAAAATTATCCATCACTCAAGATAATATCCCATTTCCCGATAGCCCTGACATCTGAAAATTTCATGATCATGGAGTATAAGTTTAAATTACTCACTGGTGAATACATTCCCTTAATATTTGCTCTATGTAGTTGTATTTTACATTTTTATTAATTAATTTTATAAAAAGTTTTTTCCTAGAATAACAGAAATAATTTGCAGAACAAACAGAAAACCTGCAATTAAGCTGCTTGTTTCTTGAAAAATTTAAATTTAATTCTATATAAAAGAAGTTATTGGCCCGAGTATTCAGTTTTGCTGAATAAATTGACCCTAAAACATTGAAACATCATCAATTTAAAAAACAGAAATTATGATAATACGTAGCAACATTTAATTAGCATTTAATATTTATTTTGTATGGCTTTTATAATTTTAAATAAAAAATTAAAGATTTGAAGTATTTGCAATTATACCTGAATATACTTTTAACAAGTATACACAAGTGTTTTCCTATTGCTTACAGTTTTGGCTCACCCAATGACAGCTTAAATTATATTATAATTAACTTTATATTTATTATAGCCTATATAATCAGTGTGATCATTGTGATTATTTTACAAATAGTTTCATGTTTTCTTTAGAATGATGGTTTGAAGCAATCCTTCTTCTCTTTCCTTATCTAATACTTTAAGTTGCGCGTACTAAATGCGTTCGTTGACGGAAACGTGCGTTTCTTTCATATTAAAATCTTCTTGAAACTTTATCTCTGGTTGATTCACGCCGCATGCATGTACTCTCTTAACTGGTGAACCTTGAAAACAGGACGTTTTTCATACTGAGGAATGATTGAATCAGGTGGCTTCTAATTCTCGCACTACTTTGCTGAAACTTTAAAATGCATTTCAGTTTTCATTTTTCTGTGCTTACGGTGCTGCTAACTAACAAGTTTTAACCAAGACGCGATAAGGCGACCTTGACTTTTTTAATCCTTTTCCTATCTTCCCGACTCAACCGTTTATTTTAATGAGCGAGTGTTTGGACTTGGAGAATATAAAATAGAATGACATATGAGAGAGACCCACGATCAGCATTCCTTTCATGGTTTTAACGGTTTAGAAAAAAAAATTCCATGGCTGCTTATTTGATGGTTTTGAAATTATTTCTACCAGTAGTATTTGGGCTACTTTGCGAAAGTTTCTGGGTTATTAAAGCTGTCAATACATACTAAAGGCTTAATAAGTGTCTACAAGGTATTTATTTTAGTTTAAATTTTATTATAAAATTTAACAAGTTGCGGTTGAGTGTTAGTTCAGCTATTTAATTTTTTGCATAATACAACGTTACAGAAGTTGGGATTTGATGACCTCTCGACAATATTCAGTTTCTTATCTCAAGTCACATATTTTAATTTGCATTTTTTGACATAACGAAGATAAAAATGATAAGATTGGTAGGTTGATCACTATAGCAAGAATGTCAATGATAATTAAAATGATGAAGAAGATGATAGTGAGGATGTTAATGAAGATGATGATAAAAATGACAACGACAACGATCACGGTGACGACAGCAAGATAAAGAAAAGAAATATTGAAGCCTCCGCAGCGATCATTTCTTTGGATGGTTCTTTATAAGTTTTCAAAACAAGTTTACAAATAATGAATTCATGAAAATTTAAAGTTTAATATTAAATCTTCAATGAACAGTAGAAAATGCATATGTAATATCTCTCAAAATGCAAACTTGATAATGCGACGACATTGAAGTACTGAGCAGAATGAAGCGCAGTATGCAGATGAGAATCAGCAATGTTTGCTCGATTAAAATTAAATTTTCAAGTCAAGTCAAGAGTCGCTTAGGAAAGAACTTTGTACCAACGTGCGCTGTGCACGCTGAACAGACTTTTAGTGAATATTTCGTTAAATTAACAAAATTTATATTGATGGAAAACATTGATACGCTGTGTGTGTGTGTGTGTTTGGGATGTGTGGATGAAGAAGCATTCAGAAATGTGCAAAACAGCAAAAGTGACGCGCGTCATGTGCCATTTTTTTAGTGGGCAATTATAAATTCACAACTGGATATAAATATTTATATGATTAAAAAATACATGCACGCATACACAAGTTATTCAAATGTGTTTGTGTGCGTGTGTGCGCGTGTGTGTGAATAGGATATTTATAATAGGATAATCTAAAACAGGCTCGATCGAAAGTTTGATTAACAACTCATATTTAACATTTCTCGACGTATGTGATGATTATGCATGCGGTCGTACGCGCGTCCCTTCAGGCAAGTTTGAGCATCTGTGTGGTGGGTGCACAGCTACGAACCTTTGTGCTATGCCTCATTCATTTGTGTGCTAATATTTTGCATGTGTGGTTTTGTTTGTTTGTTTGTTTGTTTGTTTGTTTGAGCTTTTGTATTTTGTACGAATGTTCTCACTTTGTGTATATTTTTATTCCATTGCTTTTTTGTGTTGTTTTTAGTAACATTACCGAAGATATTTTTATTCGCAAATGCAAACTATGATGATAATAACTGTTTAAATTTTTTATTGATATATATGGCCTATCATGCACGTACGTACGTACGTTGTATACCCTACCAAGTAACTTGATATCCTTACGAGGGACTCCAGTAGTAAAAAACATTTATATGTATCTGAGTCAAAGCTAAATGTAAATCATTTCAATAGATTCATGAAATACACAAACCCAATTCAAATAATATTATTTTGCATTAGCGAACGTAAATGTTGAAGTACTTGCTTAGTTATGAATGTATGTGTGTACATGAATGTGTATGATTCACATGACTGTGCATGTATGTATGTGTGTATATGTATGTATGATTCATATGATTGTGTATGTATGTGCGTATGTCCGTATGTGCTTACGTATGTATGCATGTATGTTATTCTGCTTGCATGTGTGCATATAAATTTTTTTCCATATTTTTAATGAGTATGGATGTTGAACATCATCGTGAACCATATATAACAGCGAACACGCACCATCCTTCACTTCACTTCACTTCACTACGCATATACAATACATATACACGAACGACCTACGTAGAATAATTTTGAAATTAATTTCGAACATGAAACCGAGTGATTGCATCGATAAGAAACAATGCTGATACTGTTGTTTGCGTGTGTCTGATCT